GAGGAGGCTCTTTGGTAGTTGACTTCGCAGTTTTCTTCAAGGGTCGTGTTCCCCAAACAGGGGCAGCAGTGGCCGATGCCTTGGGGCGGCTCCTCTGAGGCTTAACCGTGGCAGGGGCCACCACGAGTCCGCTGGCATAAACAGCAGTTCCGGCGCCATCTTCTGGCCACGCTCTGAAAAACCAGCTTTCGGCACTGGCCCTTTGGATTTGTTGGGCATCCTTGAAGCCATGTGCTTGCAGCCAATTTTGGACATCTTCGGGAATCCAGGTTTTGGGCGCGCCGGCGAGGGTCCAACGAGGTGCAATGGTCCCTGCTACACCCTTCGGTGGAGCAGCGGCCCTGATCCCGAGATTAGCTCTTCCCCCGGGTCTGTAGGCCAAACATGCTCCAGCAGTGTCCTCCGCCGCTTTGCGAACGGATGCCAAGTACTGCATGGGGCTATGCTTTGGATCGCGGCTGATCCATAACACGGTGGACTTAGCATTCCGCTGCGGTTGGTGAAAAAGCACGTGAAAAAGAACACCTCTTCTGGGGCCACCTCGGGCCGGTAGCTCTGCAAGGCACTTGTGACTTGCCCTAGACGATACTGCCATGTCCATGACATAAAATGCGTCTGCTGACGGCGTTCTGTTCGTGGAATCCAGTCAACCAATGCACAGCCCAGGCGACCATCTCGCGGGTCTTGGCCTGTCGGTAAGCCCAAAGCCACTTTTCATATCCATGAAGCTGGGGTCTAACTGGCCAGTGCGTTGCCTGGCCAGCTGCGCAAAGCCTTCCGACAGAAGGTATCTCATACTGACACCCGCAACTCTGCTCTGCGCAGCCCTCATCTCCACGACGTGGCTCTTGATGTCTGTCATGCTGATGCCCAGCTTGGTCAACGCCTGAGTATACAACTGTACGGTGCCGGCGTCTTCACTCCACAGGTCTCGGTACAGGCAGCTTTTGACCTTGCCAATCTTCATTCGCCTTCTTGCACGCATGTATGCATTGAAAACGCCGCCGGCCACCATCACGCATGCAACGCCGACTGCAACCAGCGGCAGGTGCCACCAAATGCAGTCGTCGTCATGCAGCAAGCTCGGGAAGCTGCAAGCCACACAGGCATCTGCGTGCGGTGGAGCGTACCAAGACGGCGGACACGGCGTGCAGTTGCTTCGCTCTGAGTTGGGCACGAGGCCCAGATTGCAAAATTCACACTTGTTTTCGCCTTCCCCAGAAACCTGTCCGGGACGGCATCTTTGGCATCCAAGCCCATTGAAAGCTGGAAAGCTTCCGGGATTGCATGGTGGCGAGTCAAACCCATCTGCACCCGCGAACATGTCCGACTTGGACACAACACTAGACGTACTCCATTGCAAGAGGCTTTGGTTGAAGGCACTGGCATTCCGAAACATAGAGTACATGCTTGTCACCGCCGACGTGTCCCAGGAACCGATAGGCTGGTTGAAGGCACTAGCATAACCGAACATGTAGTTCATGTCGCTCACAGCCGAAGTGTTCCAGGAACCGATGGGCTGGTTGAAGGCACTAGTCCGAACATCTTGCTCATGTCGCGCACCGCCGAAGTGTTCCAGGAACTGATGGGTTGGTTGAAGGCTTTGATAAAGTAAAACATGTAGCTCATGTCCGTCACTGCCGAAGTGTTCCAGAAACCGATGGACTGGTTGAAAGATTTGGCGTACTGAAACATGGAGCTCATGTCGGTCACCACTGAGGTGTCCCAGGAATCGATGGCCTGGTTGAAGCTGGTGGCAAACCAAAACATGTCGCTCATGTCTGTCACCGCCGCGGTGTTCCAGGAACCGATGGGCTGGTTGAAAGCACGAGCGAATCCAAACATAGAGTGCATTTCCGTCACTGCCGCAGCGTTCCAGGAACCGATGGGCTGGTTGAAGGCTAACGCATTCGTAAACATGAAGCTCATATCGGTCACCGCAGAAGTGTTCCAGCAGCCGATGGGCTGGTTGAAGGCAGAGGCAAGACTATATATGTAGCTACTGTTGCTACTGTTGATTACTGCCAAAGTCTTCGAGGAACCTTTCAGCTCGTGTAAGATCTCGCTGATTGAGGCACCACGAAACACAGAGCTCATGTCGGTCACGGCGGAAGTGTCCCAGGAATCGATGCGCTGGTTGAAGGTTCTGGCAAACTTAAACATTTTGCTCATGTCTGTCACCGTCGAAGTGTTCCAAGAACCGATGGGCTGGTTGAAGGTCCTGGCATCTTGAAACATAGCGCGCATGTGGGCCACTGCCGAAGTGTTCCAGGAACCGATGGGCTGATTGAAGGTTTTGGCATTCTTAAACATGTAGCTCATGTCGGTCACCGCCGACGTATTCCAGGAGCTGATGTCGGCATTGAAATCTTCCATGTTCTGAAACAGGCTGCTCATGTTGGTCACCGACGCGACGTTCCAGTCGGCGATTGCACCGTACTTTCTCTCGACCTCGGCTCAGTTCCTAAACCCTATAAAACCCATTATAAACACTAAACCTTAAAGCCCATAAACCCAACATCCCTACGCCCTACAACCAGGACTGCCTCAAGCCCCGAAAAAAAAAACGAGCCCTAAACACCCCAACTAAAGTCCTAACCCTCTACGTCAGACCTCGGCTCGCAAAGGCCCACCCAAGCTCCAGTTTCGAAGAGTTTCCCTCAGTTCCTTCCGGTCGTGGAAGATGCGGAAGCATCTGCAAGGTACCTCGGACAGGTTTACAAAACGGCGATAATAGAGGCTATGTGTGAGGGAGATGCGCGACGAGTTGTCTGTGCAAGGGGAATGGCTCGAATCCTCTTGGTCGTACACAGGCCACTATAGCTTCTAGCTAGTACGGCAATAGTTTACTTTGCCGAAGAATAGTAATCAGCCAAAGATGCGTTGTATGCGGAGCAGTCATAGTAGGCACTGTCGCATGGTCCGGCAAGCGGTTCCATGCGCAGGCAAGCTACAAATAATGAGATAAGGTCCGCAAGCTGAAGCCTTGCTCTATGTACATGGTAGACTGATCATAGCTCACATTGCCACACCTACGAATTGGACTAGGCATCGAGGTCCATTCGCAAACTAACCGGATAATGTATCACTCCAAGGGTCACTGAACCGATGCCGTAATGAAGGAATACGTCTTGAGTCATGCTTTGGACCCTCTTGTATAGTTTCTCAATCCTTTGCATGTACTTGAGGCGGCCTGGAGTTGAAGGAAGGGTTTCTGTGTTTAGTAGTTGTTTGGCTTGGAGTTTCAGATTTCGCGGTTTAGGGTTATAACTCAAACAAATGTAACTGCAACCGAATACGACCTGATGCAAGGGCCTTACACCGCTGTTTTTGGCTACCAGGAACCCCCAAAGGAAAGCATCCACTGCGTGAAGAGCCGAAGCACAGTGGACAGCAAAAGTGCAAGGATGCGCATGGTCGCCGGCACGTGTCACGCTAAGATAAGCCGGAAGCACTCTTGCAGGCCTACCATAAACCACCATAGCCTGCTTTTCGTAGGCTGCTATCGGGTTCAATATTGAGTTTTTTTGGGGGGTGGTGCTTCAAGCCAGTAGGCTTCGGTGGCTGGAGGTATGGCTTCAACTTGTCAACAGCATAAGATGGCGGTTGGTGTGCTGAGCCGGAAACCTCTCAGAGTGAAAGCGGTTTAGGGGTTCAGGACTGTGTAAGGTGGAGCTTACAGGGCCGAGGGTTTTAGGTTTAGGGCTTAGGGGTTTCGGGGGTTAGGGTTCTTCTACACGCACCCTGGCTGAGAGACTAGCTCCCTCTCGAGAAATCCAATCAGGTGTTCACAGGTTTAGTAGACCGTGGGGCTAACCATCAGCGGCATCCAAGAATACACACATGTATATACTGTCTATATGTATATCATGTGTATATCTATAAAGACCTTTATCGTTTTAATACGGTTTAGGGGTCTATGAGAGTGAAGCTACGTTTTGATGGTAAGGACCAAAGCGGCAGAACATCACCAATGATTTAAGCGTTTATATTAACACCGGAGGGCTCTGAAAAAGCTAAGTCCAACAAGCCTGCCTCCCTCCCTACCTCCCTCTCCATCACGAAAGCATTACCTCGAGCAACGATTTAGGGTTTCGGGCTTCACCTGGACCCTAAACCCCTAAACTCTAAACCCTGAAGCTCTACACCAAAATCCCTAAACCAGAGTTTTTTGTGTAGTCCTTTTACAGGGAGCTCAACTCAAGGGCTCTATTCGGATCCCATTTTATGTTTCATGCGGCGGAGGACATCAACACCAGCAACCCCAAAAAATCCTGACTTCGGAAGAGCCTACCTTTTTGGGGCTCCTTATTCGGGTTTCTTTATATATGTCCAAAAAATGGTAGGTTATTTGGGGTTAAGGTACACCTTGAAGCCCGAAAGCATCGACGCGGGCCTCGCGGTCCAGGGTTTCGGGCTAAGCGCCTAGCGTTTTAGTATTCTCGGGAAGCCTCGGGAAGGATACTAGTAGAGTTGAGAGAAACTACTACTAGTATCCCCTGGGTTATTACAAAATACTGTGATGTGCCATCATACACTAAAATGTACGACAATGTGATAATATGCCAAAAAGCACTATATCATACTATAGTATGCCGCAATAAACTATAAAGACTGTAACATACGATGATAAACAGGCCCCAATTTTAAACCCTTACTCCATCCCCCGTAGCTGCTTCCGCGGTGTAGGCTTCTTTAGGGCCTTATAGGGTTTAGGGTTCAGGCTTCTTTAGAGTTCTTTATAGGGGTTCGGCAAGGCTTTACAAGAATTTGTCGGGGGTGGCTGTCGGCCGAGCCAATGTGTAGGGCTCAGAGATCTTGTCTGGGGTGTTGTAGTGAGGTCTAGTATTTTGGGCAGGGCGTAGGGCCCAGGATTTGGCCACCTAAAGATCAGAAGCCCTTAACCCTACCCTAAATCCCACAAAACCCCACAACAAACCTCACAATAAAACCTACAATAAACCCTTTAAACCCTGAACCCCAAACCTGATGCCAGGAACCAAGAGGGTATGTCATCCTCGCCGATGGATGAGCTGACTTGAATCTCCACTCCCAGCAAGACGGCGTTGACAACGATCCTTGAGTTTAGGGTTTAGTCGGAAGAGGACGTTTAGGTTAAGGTTTCGGGCGTGCGATTTAAGAAATATGTGTGGGTATATATATATATATATATATGTGCACATATATCTGTGGTAGTCTCATAGTCATACCGGCTACTGGTGGTATAACTCGAAACGCCCTCGAACAAGCAACTCCGTCGTCCGAACATCTCTCGAAGGGGCAGGAGTCTGCAATGGATGCTATCTTACTTATCCGAAGAGAGCAGATCTGCTAGGCTAGACCATTAACCCTAGCGCCTTAAACCCCTAAAGTAGAAGCCAGAAAGTTGGAATATGATTCCCCTAAGCCCTTGATGGTAAATTATAGGGTATCCTACCATTAATCCATATTCCAACTTTCTGGAGTTCCCTTTAAACCCCTAAAGCCTAGACGGTCCTAAACCGCTTAACACGAAATTCTAGCCCGCACGAAACCCAGAGACTCCAATATCCCTTAATTAAGGAATATACCTTAAATTATAATAGGATCCCTAATATGATTTAAGGAATATTCCTTAATTAAGGGATATTGGAGTCTCAGGGAAACCCTCAAACAGAACCCGAGATCTGAAAAAAGAAACCTAAAACCTCAAACCCAGGCCCTGACTTGGGAGGTGCAGGGTAGTTATAAGGGTCCCTTTAAAGGGGTCTATAGGGATTCTATAAGGGTATAGGGTTTTAGGGCTTTTAGGGCCTTACTTGGAGGTGCAGGGGTAGTTATAAGTGGGGTTATAGGTCCCCTAATATGGATTATAAGCATAATTACCCTACTTATAACCCTACTTATAACTACCCATGAACCTCCAAGTAGGGCACCCGGACCTAAAGCAATGCAAAACTCTAAACCCCGAACCAGAGGGTCTGCGGCTCTAGTCGAGGATTGACGATGCTTAAAGGGGGCTAAGCCCCACAAAGACGACAAAAACGGCTTGGAGCGTTAGGACTCAAGAGGTTTGAGGGTGGCAGGGCTTGTTCAGTTTCAGTTTAGAGGGGAAGGGTCTGGGGCTGTGGGGCTTCTGGAGATGACCCCTTCACCAGACATGGGTCGGGGATACCACAGTGCCCTAACCTCGGCAAGAATCTGTAGGCACCGGCGGTGCAGCTCCTAATCATCAAAGCCAAGAAGACCCTTGAAGAGACCTCTGGTGAGGCTTTAACCCTTCGGACCGAATGGAAAACATCACCGCAGCCTTGAACCCCACTCCACTTCCAGACTCTCCAGAGCCCCTTAAGACGCTATCCGAAAGCCACGGAAAGCTGCAGGGACGACACACCCCCCAAAACCCCAAAAGCTGCGCGGGTCTAAGGCTCTGTTGGCTTATTCGCCTCGGCCCCGGCCGAAGCGGTCAGAGGTTCCTGTTCGGATTTCCTCTATTCCCCACCTCTTAATCCCCTCCCCAGTGACCCCACCCCCAAAATCCTGGCCACCGCCCCCCCCCCCCCCTAAAAAATGGAAACGTGTCGATGAGCCCCAAGGTCCGGCGGTGAATTTTCGCCTTCTCCAGTGGATTTTGGCTTTCTGTAGGCAGTCCCACCCAATTTTCTTCGCTTTCCCCTCCCCCCCCCCCCCCCCCCCCCCCCCCCCCCCCCCCCCCCCCCCCCCCCCCCCCCCCCCCCCCCCTTCCCCCTTCCCTCCCGCCCTCCTCCGCTCGCTGACAGGTGCGAGTTTTGTGAGTTTTCGACGACACGGGACTGCAATGTAGCATCTTTATGTGTTGGGGCTCGCCTTTAAGGCTGCAGTACCAAGCGAGATTCAAACCTGAAATTCTAACCCTACTGCAGATAGTAGCCACTCGCCGCATGCGCGTACAGCCGGGCCGAGGCGGACGACGCGCAGCGTTTCAAATTAAGCTTCGTCAACGCCGGACATCCAACATAGCCTTGGCGCAGGAACAAGATCAAGGCGTTGAAGACGCCAGACTGAACCGCATCCCGTGCCCGCGTCCGCAGGTCTGCCTTCGTTGAGCCCCGGTTACTGCAACTTTGTGTGGTTCAAAGGACCTGAAGCCCTTGACCCTAGACTCTAGCATGGCATAAGGTTTAGGGAATCATGACGGCAGCGGTGCTGCTAGTGTCATTCCTGCTGCTGGGCTGAGGATTGCAAGGAGCTCAGTAGCGCTAGCAGTAGTAGCCGTAGCAGTAACTGCAGCAGAAGGATAAGCAGCAGCTCGTAGCAGCAGTGCCGGCCACCGGACAACCGATGTGGGGAATGACGGTGCTCTTCGCTGATTCCAACTGGCTCTATTCCAAAGTTGGTAATAGAAAGGGTTCAAGTTTCGAACTGGCCCACAACTAGATAGGACGTAGGGTGTAGGGTCTTGTGGCTTAGGGCTTCATGTCAGCCATGCAGGAGCCGGGGTTCAGCATTTGAGGGCCCTTTGGCCCCCAACTTCTGAATCCCAACACAGCCCGACGAGTGTCATCAACTCCCTTCAAAACCCTGCAAAAGCCGCTTCATTGATCCGAACCCCCAAACTCATAAACAAACGGACTCCAAACTCTCCAACCCGAGTCCTAAGTCCAGAGGCCCTAAACACTTAAGTCCAGAAGCCCTAAACACTAAATTCCCGAATCTCTTTCTACGCCCCAGACCCAAATCATAATTCCCAAACCATCAGGGCCCTCGCAGCTCTAAGCGGCCCAGGTATTGGAATCCTCCCAGAAAGCATCCTAAACCCTAAACCCTGAACCCTAAACCCCTAAACCCTATACCCTAAACCCTAAACGCCTAAACCATCAACCCCTAAACCCCTAAATTCTGTACCCTGAACCCTCAACCCTCAACCCTCCGAGCCCGCTATTCCTTCAAACCATGGGACGCTCTGAAGAGACGACATGGCCCGAACGAGCCGGTTGTTCCGGGTCTCGTGGGCCTCTCAGAGACACGGAAGTTCATAGATTCGAAGGTTTTGCTTTAGGGTCTTCCCTAAGGCTCCAAAGTAGTTCCTTTTTGGGGTTCATATATAGAATCCTATAGTCTACCCTAAGGCTCCAAAGTAGTTCCTTTTTGGGGTTCATATATAGAAACCTATAAAGTAATCCCAGAAGGAACTACTATGGAGCCTCTGAGTAAGGTTTAGGGTTCAGGGGTCATGTAAACGAAAACCCCAAAAGCCCGGGAAAGACCTGACTTCGGGTTGAAGATGTGGATACCCAGTAACCTAAGAAAAAAAGCCTCTCTTTTTGGTATTGGGTAACTTTATAAGGAACCTAGGACTACAAAAAGGGAACAAGGGTACTACTGGGCATCCTGGAAGATGTGGCATATTGTGGGGAGGTTTTCTTGGTGTTTTTTTTAAGGGTGTAATGCACCACACTGCTGCTCGGATCGAGCTTGCATGGGTTTAGGGTTTCGGGTTTAGGTAGAGTGAACCCCAGAAAATTGGAACATGAATTCAGGATGAGTAGTGCTAGGATCACACCATTAAGCCAACCTCAAGGCTTCAACGGTTAGCCCTATGCCCTAAACCCTGGATCTTGAGACCTATACACAGAATCCTAAAGCCGCAGCCACGCAGCAGAATCCTAAAGCCTCTTGGGGGCTCCGGGGTTAAAGGCATTCGAACAGCTGGACCCCGCGGTTTACGGTTTAGGCTTTAGGGTTCAGGGTTCAGGGTTCAGGGGGCTGTTGAACAGTGCAACCGGCGTCCTGGGTGAAGTCTGAGGAGTGGCTCTGGCACTCTGGGTGGGGTTAAAAGTAGTGGCTTTGGCGCGGGGGAGCTCCGAGATGTCGATGCCCACGGGTGGTGGGAGGCCAAAAGGGGGGTTTAAGATTCTTCGGGTAGGGATTCCTGAATATGAACCCTATTATGGGAACCCTAATCCCTACCTAAACCCCCATAGGCTAAAACCACTTTTGGCCTCCTATGAACAGGGGTTGCCGGCAGGCAAAGAGCACGGCGCTGCAGCGGTTTCGGGGCTTAGTGGTTTCGGATCTGGATGTAGGGTGTCTTAGCCTAGGGCTCTCAGGGATGCCGCCTAAACCCGAAGCCTTGAGTCCTTCTTTTATGGGGTTTGGGGATTCAGGGTTCTTTGGCTTCGGGTTTCTTGCGGGTTAGGGCTTAGCGATTCGGATTGGGGTCTGGCATTTTGGGTCGGAGTCATGAATCAAAGACTGAGTTCTGCACACAGAAAAGTATATGATGATATTATGTATGGCTTACGTATCTCTGATACGTATACTTCTACGTGCAAGTACACTTGCGCTTACACTTATGTTTCTGCTTGTTCTTATACTTTTACTTATACTCATGCGTATACGCATACTTACACTTACACTTGTACTTATACACAAACTTCTACTCATATATTATACTTATCTTTCTGTGTATATCTGTTTGAAGCTGTACACATAATATGTGCATCTACATTGAGTTAGTCATACTGATATCTATTGATGCATACTTGTCTGTTTATCAAGAAAATGAAGAATCAAAGACCTATAAACCCGGGCACAGAGGTGGATTTTGAAGGGTCCAAGCTGCAGATTTGGGGTTCAGGGTGCAGACTGCAGGGTGTGGGGTTCAGGCTTAGGGATTCGGATTTAAGGATGTTCGGAGATCCCCCAAAACCCGCGCACCGAAACCCCCAACCCAGGCCCTTTCAGTACCTAATATTGAGGCCTGAATTTCCTGAATAATGACGTAAACTCTTTTGGGGGGTTCCTTATTATAACACAAGTATAACCAACTTTAAGCAACCCCAAAACCTTATTCTTGTCATTCTGGGCGTTCCTTATTATGACAGCGTTCCTTATAATAGCAAAAGTATAATATACCGCAAAACCATATTCACTCATGTTTAAGGCCCTCGAAGTATGTCCGCTCCGTCCTCGATGTGCTGCCGGATCAGCCCTGGGTCAACCATGGAGACACGGCCCCGGGGTCCAACGCTCTCCTCCCAAGAGGGAGGAGTTTCGGGTTCTAGGGTTTGGGGGTGTTAGGGTTTTGGGATTAGGGGTTTAAGGGTTTAGGGGTTAGAGGGGCTCGGGAAACTGCAGGGCTGCAAAAAGAGTTTTATCAGGTTTCCATGAGAGTTATTAATGGTATAGAAGGGGCTGCGCATAATGCTTTACTGGTTAGACGTAGGGTTTCTTAGGTAGTATCCTATAGTTTGGATAGGAACCCGAAGGAGTAGTGCCAGGAACAGTTAGTAACAGCATCTGTTGAAAATTGCTACTTATTTTCACGTTTGAATTTCAACCGCGTCTTTAGTTGATCGTGTAAGAGTAAGATAGACCCTTAAACCCCAAACCCCAACACCCCTAAACCCTAAACCCCTTAAACCCTAAACCCCAAGCCTCAAACGCTGCCAGGTTCGGGCCCCCGTCCTGTGTGCCCAGCCGGCCCCGAAGGGGCTCCGGCAGGGAGAAAGGCTCGGATGCTTCGATGAAGTCCACGGACTCCACCTTCAAGTCGGTCGAAGGCTAAGGCTTTTTAACGGGCTTAGTGTTTTTCGAATTAGGTGTTTGTTTTTTTGTGGGGTTCACCTTCAAGTCGAAGGTTAAGGCTTTGTAATGGGCGTAGTGTTTTTTTCGAATTAGGTGTTAAGTCGAAGGCTAAGGATTTTTAATGGGAGTAGGGATTTTTGTTCGGTCTAGCTGTTCGTTGCTTTTTTGGGGTTTAGGGTTTAGGGTTTGGGGTGAAGGGTGTAGGGTTTCGGGTTCAGCGTATAGTAGGGTGATTTCGGTCTTCAGGTTTCGTGGCTCAGGGCTTTGTGGGATTGCAGGCATCTAAGGCTCTCGGGTCAGGGGGTTTGGAGTCGAGGATATAAGGTTCAGAGTTTAGGATTCTGGGCTACCTTCGGTGTTTAGGGGTACTATGGTGGTTGTCAAGATTAAGGTCCCTTTTTGGGTATCCTAAATAATAGGTGCCGTATTTTTCTAAGGACCCAAAAAGGGACCCTAAGTTTGACAACCACCCATATAGAGGCCTTAATAATTACTTGTACTATTTGGGAGCTTCCTACTTGTAACTAAAGTATACTACACCACAAAATCCTAGTCTAGGCTGTTCAGTAACCCACTGGGAACAAGCATATACTTTTTTAGGCTTCACATTTTATAATAGGAACCCAGAAACCTTAAATTAAAAAAGTGTGCCACTGAACAGCCTGGTATTCTAATTATCAAGGCCCCAATATTTCCTCTAAACCCTAAACCCCGAACCCTAAAACCCTAAACACTAAACCCTAAACCCCGAACCTGATAGCTCGGCTTGTTACTGGCCCAAGCCGTGTAGTTTCCGACCTATGGCCCTGGCTTTGCTGCAGATCCCAAACCAAACCTTCCCCAATGTTGGGCTCTGAATAACTGTCGGCTTCGGTTTTGTCATATGAGTATAACAAGAAGCTAAACAAACCCATGAGCATGTATTTCCTCTTCTACATTAAACCCAAAACTGAAATCTGAATCGCAGTTCCAGCCAGTAGGAGTCTTGAAAAGCGATCCCCATGCACTAGGACGCTGGTCCAGGGGCCATGCACGAAATCAGTGGCTCGGAGGTGTGGTCCAGTTGTGAGGTTTAGGTGTCCGATCTTATATGGGGGTTTCCGAAAATTAGGGGTACCTTAGTATGGGGTTCTCATAATAAGGATCCTGCCATGTAGAATACTTTTATTAGGGTCCCCTATCTTCGGAAACCCCCATACATACTTCAGGGTTTGCAGTTGGGGTTTCGGACATAGGGTTTAGGGATTGGAAGCTCAAAGGTTTAAGGCTTAGGGTTTAGGGTTTAGGGCTTCCCAGAGACTCCAATATCCCTTAATTAAGGAATATACCTTAAATCATCTTAAGGATCCTACTATATTTTAAGGTATATTCCTTAATTAAGGGATATTGGAGTCTCTGGGCTTAGGGTTTAGGGTCCACGGTCTTACTACGGCCTAGGAGTTGTTGCATCTACGTTTCTGGTTAAGTCATAAACTGCTAAGCCGCAACTGCTCTTGCCAACCCAAACATCTAATCGCACAAACGAACCCTGAAGCCACAAACCTAGATTCCGGAGAACTACTGTAGCTTTGATTTTGCTTAGCGCAACGCCTTAACCCGAGACACTACGTACAAAGAGGTCCTATGCTCCTCAAAATATCCAGAAACCAATGCTAAGCCCCTCAAGCAAGCCAAAACCCTAAACCCTAAACCCTAAACCCTAAACCCTAAACCCTAAACCCTAAACCCTAAACAAACAGCCTCTAATAACCATCAAGCCGCCCTACACCCTAAACCCTAAACTCCCTAGTACGCTCATTCATACAGTTACCAATTATTCCGACTCCTATACTAGGCTGGCCTTTGAAAGCCCCTGAAAAATCTTCGTAAACAAGATCCTCTTAAGCCCAATGCAGAAAAATGCAAGACATCCCAAAAGCCTACCTAGGAGATTGTTACCTAAACCCTAAGCCCCTAAACCCTAAACCCCTAAACCCCTAAATCCTAAACCCTATAGATCCCTTATAGAGCCCCTATGGATCCCTTTAAAGGAACCCCTGTAGATCCCTTTAAGGAAACAAAACCCCTAAGGATCCCTTTAAAGGAACCCGTAGCTCTAGGCCCGCCGCCCCCCCTGAAACTGACGAGTCGCCAGCTCGGAGCCAGACCTCGCATACTCCTCGCAGATCGCTTTAGGTGTAGTACTGGGTTCAGGGCCTTAGGGTTTTTAGGGTTTGGGGTTTAGGGTTTAGGGCTTAGAGTTTAAGGTTTAGGGTTTAGGGTTCTAGGGTTCAGGGCCTTAGGGTTTTTAGGGTTTAGGGTTTAGGGTTTAGAGTTTAGGGTTTAGGGTTTAGAGTTTAGGGTTTAGGGCTTAGAGTTTAGGGTTTAGGAATAGGGTTTAGAGTTTAGGGTTTAGAGTTAGGGTTTAGGGTTTAGGGCTCTAGGGTTCTAGGGCTCTAGGGCTCTAGGGTTCTAGGGTTTGGGGTTAACGGATTTCGGGCCAGTGTGGATCTGGGGTAGAGTGGTGTCATTGTTCTTGAATGATGGTTCTATGATTTCAAAGCCTTGACAATTAGCGTAGGCCTCTGCGGACTCGTACAGCAGTATGGTAATTTAGGATCTGTAACGAGATGCTCGTACGAGCTATTTCGGCACCCTGTCCCTTTAGCATATGGGGATTTAATGATCAGTTACAATAGCGTGAAAAGGCAAACTATACATAACCCCCACAAAGAACCCCAAGGAATAACTATGACAATTATGAAATAACTCTCATACAGAGAAATAAGTTTCGTCTGAATAACCCTTGGGCCCCCTACACTAGGATACCCAGTAACCTAAGAATAGAAAGGCCTCTCTTTTTGGTATTGGGTAACTTTATAAGGAACCTAGGACTACAAAAAGGGAATAAGGGTACTACTGGGCATCCTAGTCTTGGGCCCCCTACAGTATGCGTTACGAACCCAGACCTTCCACTTTAGTTCTTTGGCACGAGCCCCAATGCGGTCTTGCCAACTACGTGGACCGTGGCGCGCACAGGACTTCTTTTGCGCACTGTGTAGGCTGTGGACTCGGTATGTGCGGCGTTTTCTGCATATGTTGGATTCTTCCGGATTCTTCCGACTTCCAGGGATGTTCAGCGCTTTGGGGGGATGGGTGGGAGGAGGGAGATGATAACGAGCATCGTACTCGTCGTCAGCTTTCGATGTGTCTTCTTCCGACTTCTGCCCAGTCGGTCTTGCGTTGCACGTTTCTGGCACATGCACAGATTCTCTTGGGTCTGAACCCCGAGTGATGCAGCACGCAAAAGTGGGGCCATGTACTTCTGCTGGCTGGTAGCCGCTCTCTCTGCCGTGAATTTGCTGCGCCTGCCGACTGCCACCTTCTCACGGAGCTTGCTGGCTTCGCTTTTTCATCATCGACGATTTGCACTTTGCGGCTCAGTTGCCCTGGCAGTGGTTTTCATGTCCCTTCTCTGCGCAACAGAAACAGTTCGCAGCTGCAGGTATTGTGCGCTGCCCACCCACCGCTTTGAGCCGAGAGAACCGGCCGGCTTCATTGCGTAATGCTCTAACACCTGCCCGGCTATCTCTCTGCAATGATTCAATGATGATGAAACTCCGAATGCTTGGTCTGTTCCATTTGCCACCTCATCCGAAACCCGAATAAAATACCCAAAGGAATCCTATTTACTAAGTGCCTCGATTCAACCCGAAACCCTAAAGCCTAAAACCTTAAACCCTAAGAGAGCTGCGGAACGCCAGGAGCCTCCGACCGCGTCTCGCACCTTTGGCGAAGTTGTTGCAAGAGGGTTTCTTGCATGAGTGGCCGCCCCTCGCACTGGAAGGCTCTTCGCGGCTGCCCCTGTCGTGCGAAATCTTGGACATGTATCCTTCAAGATCTTCACACATGTGTTCCGAGGGTGTCCCACAGGACTCGAAGAATCGCAGCGATCCTTTTCCTGACGCAAAACTTAGTCATGCCAAACTACATCGACTAAACCACATGTTGATTCCCTCTCGGCCCTAGCCGATGTCCTGATTGTAGATCATGTTCGTGCATAAATCATATCTTCCCGTACCAGCAGCGCCTGTGCATCGCTTTCCTTGTACATACCCGACAAGTTCCAAAAACCAAAAGTCTAAACCCTAATTGCTAATCCCTAGACGGCCGAAAACCCGAACCCTGAACCCTCTTCCCCGAAGGGCCCAATTTTACCGGCAACTAGAACCCTCGAAAGAGCCGACAAGCCAAATCGAAAGGTTCCCTCAAGCCCTTAACCTGGAGACGCGCAAACCTCACATGGGTGGTTGTCAAAATTTTGGTCCCCGTTTGGGTCCCTATTATCATACGGCACCTATTATTTAGGGTACCCAAAAGGGTACCTTAATTTCTGACAACAACCCACATGAACCACTCGCTTCAAGAATGCCCTGAAACCTGAAACCCTGAACCCCAGAGCCCTCAGCCAGTCCTCCGTGGCCACATTGCTGAAGAAGGTAGACCGCATCTTCGGATACCCCAGCAACGTGCCGTCCTGGGCGTTCGATGGCTCTTGTGCTGCAGGCTTGAGGTCTAAGGTTTAGGATTTACGGCTTCGTGTGTTGTTAATGTTTGCGGGTTTAAAGTCCAAGGGGTGGTGGTTTAGGATGTGGAGCCCGGCTTCAGGATATGGCAAAGCCTAGCGCTTGAGGAGCCGGCGCTAAGGAAGTACTCTGTCGGTTGTTCGTCGTCGTCGACTGCTCCCGCTCCTGCCTGCTGCTGCTCCTGCTGCTGCCAGTACCACTGAGTGCCAGTGGTGGTGGCGGCAGTGGGAAGACTGGGGCTGTGTGTGCCCTTACGCGGTTAAAGAAGCCAAGGTCGAACAATGATAACATCAGTGCTACCACTGCATCTCTTTGGGTGGCTTGCAGGGGGGCAGCAGCAGGAGGAGGGGGACGAGGGGGAGGAGTAGCACCACTGTTTTTAGACCCTAAATCCAACAACCTGAAGCCAGACCTGAACCGGCTTTTTCAAGAGGGTGCAATGCCCCTATGGGAAGGAATACGGCTTACACTGTTTAGGGCATATGATTCTGACATTCTTCGGAACGGGGAACGCTAGCCGTTTTGGATACTAGAGGGGCCTTCATACTTAGACTGGAGTTCTGGTGCGTAGTCTGCAAATAGCATGTTGTTATAGACTGCCAGGGATATGGCTATTGTTAGTATAGGGTGTCAATTTCAACAGTCTGACAGTAGTGGCCAATTGTATTCATGATCAGGGTTCCATAATGAACAGTAAGGGGAACTGAGAACCCTAAACCCTAAACCCTAAACCCTAAACCCTAAGCCTTAAACCCTAAACCCTAAACCCTAAACCCTAAACCCTAAACCCAAATCCGTACCTAGTAATGGTTCAGACCCTTGCTTGTAGCACACCCCCACGTAATCCATGGTTGGGAATGTAAGTTAAAATTCAAATTCCATGCCTTCTTGGGTTTAACTACCAATAACTGGGTTCCCCAGTAGCCCGTGATAGTAAGGGTACACCTTTCCTAGTATTCAGTTTCAAACGCTGCAACAAGGGAGCCCAAAGCATGTCTGGAAGCGCCAAGAGTCCCCAAGGGTGGTGGAACCCTGCGACAGAGGCCTCGGTCGAATGTCTCGTGGTTCAAGGCTTCGGGCTTCCGGCTCTGGCTTCAGCGGTTTTTAAGGTTTAGGTTTTTTGTTTTTTAGGGTTAGTTTAGGGGTTTAGGGTTTAGGGGTTTCGGGTTTAGCGTTTTGCGGATAGGGTTTAGGATTTTGCATCTTCCGGAGCGCTCCGAGCACCCGCGATTACAACTGGGCCCTTTCCTGGATTGGTTACAGCTTGTTCTTGATGGCTCTAGACTTTCAGGCTTATGGCTTTGTGCTGAAAACCGCAGAGCATGTCTAGCACTTTTGGTTTTTCGCAAGCTTAGCTTGTATATAGCGGGGCTTGAGGAGTTTGATCGTTAGGGTTTACGGTTCAGAGATTCGGGCGGCAAGATGAACTGCACGACACCTTAACCCTAAAACCTAACCCTAAAACCCAACCCTAAAACCTAACCCCCTAAACCCTGAACCGTAAACAGTAATGAGGATTCTGCGGTCGCTGTTCCCGGAAAATCTGACGGAGTCATCCTCAACAGGCACTTGTAGCTATCATGAGGACAAGTTACGGCGTTACGATTTTCGCTGGGTGTAATATTTGAAAACTGGTATCACTGTCATAAGCAACTCTACCGGGTAATACAAACCCAATACCCCTCCGAAGGATCCCTGAAACACTCCCGGAAGGGAAGCCTACTTTAAGTATGAAGGCCCCTTATACCCTAGAACCCTTATAGTATAACCCTTGTAGAACCCTTGCAAGAGTGCTGTAAGCGAACCCCACTCCAACAGGATCCCTTTAAGGGGTTTCTGTAAGCGAAGCCTTCAAGGATGCCTCAACAGCTCCCTTACAGGAGCCCTTGAGGGAACCCGAAACCTAGACTACGCCCTAAAGGAACCCTTAAGGGAGCCGTTTTATACCCTAAACCTAAACCCTAAGCCCAACCCTAAACCCTAAACCGTATGACCCTAGCCTTGAAGGATCCCACAAAGGCTCCCTTTAAGGGAACCCTAAACCCAACCCCAAAGGGATCCCTTAAAGGCTCCCCCTTAAGGGAACCCTAAACCCAACCCAAAGGGATCCCTTAAAGGCTCCCCCTTGAGGGAACCCTAAACTCAACCCCAAAGGGATCCCTCAAAGGATCCTTTTAAGGGAAGCCTAAACCCAACCCAAAGGGATCCCTTAAAGGTTTTCTTTAAGGGAAACATGACCCAACCCTGAAGGGATCCCTCGAAGGCTCCCTTTAAGGGAACCCTAGACCCAACCCCCAAGGGGATCCCTTAAAGGCTCCCTTACCAGAAGGCCCTTTATACCATAGAACCCTTATAGTATACCCGTTCAAGAGCCCTTTCATTGAAGCGAACCCTACTCCAATAGCATCCCTTAACAACGGAACCCTAAATGAAACCCTTTTATAGGGACCTTCAAGGACCCCTTTTAAAGGCCCCTAAACCCTAAACCCTAAACCCCAAACCCTAAACCCTAAACCCCTAAACCCATCCCTTAAAGGCTCCCTTTAAACAAAAACCCTAAACCCTAAACCCTAAACCCCTAAGGGACCCCTCTTAAAGGCCCCCCTTACCCCGCAGCCCAGCGGCAAGGACTTCACGTCCGATTTGAGCTCGGCCAGCAGCTGCGCTTGCTTCGCGAACCTGGGCTTTAGGGGTTTTGGGGGGGGGGATCTATAGGGGGTTCCTTTAAAGGGATCCATAAGGGCTCCATAAGGGATCTATAGGGTTTGGGGGTTTTGGGGAGTTTCGGGGGTTTAGGTTTTAGCGGGATAAGGGTTTAGGGGTTTAGGGTTTAGGGGGTTCAGTCTAAAGTTTAGAGTACCCTTGAGTATGTAACACTAAACTGAAACCCTTATCCATAAGGCTCTTGCAGCACGGCTTTGTAGCGAAGTCCTGTTCCAAGAACAGTGGACTGGTTCCGCGCTGTCGAACCCGGACATCTGCCAACACTCAATGTTCCGGTTTTGAGGTTTAGGGTTTATAGTAGAAGCCCAAAAGTTGGAAACCCCACAGCCTCGATCCTTAAGAGTAATGTATAGGGAATCCCGCACTATTTGGCCTAAACCGGCTTCCAACTTTATGGGGTTTTACTGTAGGTACTGAGGTCTGAACCCTCAACAGTACCGCAACCATCTGTCCTACACTCTCTGCCAAGGAGCTGTACATCCAGATAGTCTCGTAGCTGCAGAAAGGTCGGGTGCAGGTCAGCGTGGGCAGCAGAGTCGCCATGTACACTTGACATGGCTCGAAATGTTTGGTTTCAGGGTATAGGGTCTGCAGCGTCGCTGTTACCTTAGCGCTTTGGTGCTCAACAATCTCAGCCGGGGGGTCCGGACCAGGATGTTAGATTTCAAGTCTCCGCCATCTTGCTCCAAGCGTCCGACCTTGAAACCTCCCGCTCGAAACCGTTTGGCATGCGAGGCCCGGCCTGTTGCGTTGCTTGTTGTCCAGGCTCTGGCCCTTAGGGTTTCAGGTTTCGGGTACTTGAGCCTGAAGCCCTAAACCCTAGGGCCCTGAACTGTAAACCGTAAGCTTTCGTTTGGGGGCTTGGGGGCGCCGGGAGCTACGAAAAAAAGACGCATCACCGAAGCATGCCGAGCCCAGAGAGGCGAGGAACGGCTTGGGATCTTGTGTTCTGCCCCACGATCCAGAAGAAAGGCAAGACAGAGTAGACAGAAACATCTGTACACACAGTACACGTTGATTGAACCTCATACATGATTACAAACAGGTGGAAGCATACATATATATATATATATATATAAAGATCGGGAAATGGGCTGAAACTCAATAAAATGAGGCAACACACCTAATACCAAGCCCTGAGCCGGCTCGATGAGACGTCTCTGTCTATAGGAACTTAGAAAGAAAAAGAAACAAAGAAAGAAAGAGAGAGAGAAAAAAAAAAAAAAAAGAAGCATTGCCACGTTGCTCAAAATTGCCAATGCTACTATTTTGAGGTTCCTGATTATGATTAGTGTATAATATACCCACAAAACCATTTTCTAAGTATTAAGGCCCCTATTTTAAGCCCTACGCCCTCCCTTTTCTTCGTTCGAGGCGAGAGCACTGGTGGCTTCAGAGGACTGATGGCCCCTGCCGAACCGGGAACGCAGGAACTCGGTTATAGCATTATGGGCCCCAAAACCCTACTCTAATAATTAGAATAGGGTTTTGGGGCCCATTATACTGTACATATTATGAGGAACCCTCAAAATAGTAGAGGTAATTATCTAGGCCCCTATAGTAACTTCTCCACTAAGCATCCACTTGAAGGGCACGGGCCACTGTAAGAGCACTATAATATGGGTTTAGGCGGTCGTCTCAAGAACTCGGGCTTAAGGCTTACACACGTGGAGGATCCGTGACTGTCATGTTTCACCAGGATTCTAGGGGCTTGCACTGCTTATAGGGCTCCAACTCACAGAGAACGTTTGTCAGCTTCATTCATCGGGTTTGCCACGAACGCTTATTGTTCAACAGTAGTTCAACAGCACCTCCTTGCTTAAGAATGCCTTGTCATCGAGCAAAGTTTAGAAGTGAGAGACAAGCCTGGCTAGGAGTTTGGAACCGTGTAAACAACTCAGCTTTGCATGACACGTCGCACGTGCTGCTAAGCACTTTCCTCCAATTGTTTGCAAGAGTTCGGTTCGCAGCACCCTGAACCCAAATCACTAAGCCCTACACTCTAAATTCTAAATAAGCCCTAAAAACCCTCAAGACCCTAAATCCCAACAAGAAACCCTAAACGCTAAGCCCTTAACCCTGAACCCTACAAACCCTAATCACCCAGGTTGACAACACCATCGACCCCAAGACCTGAGCCCAAAAAAAGAACCCTAAACCCCACTTGGAGGGTCGGGGGACTTAGTAAGTAGGTAGTAAGTAGACTTATAAGCACCCTCAAAGGGACCCTAATTGGGGTTATGGTACTTATAAGTCCCGAAAATAACCAGTTACTAAGTCCCCCGACCCTCCAAGCAAGGCCTTAACAGCCTGGAACTCTAAAAACCCAGGTTCGCAGGACCCTCCATTGGCACCTTTGGTGCCAGGCTCTTGACCCAGCTTCCCTTCTTCGTGTTTGGGGGTTTAGGGTTCAGGGGTTGCTTTTAGGGTTTAGGGTTCAGGGCTTAAAGATTTAGAGGTTTAGAGGTTTCGGGGTTTAGGGTTTGGGGTTAGGGATTAGGGGCTCTTTTTGGGGTTTACGGTAGTATGGGGTTTAAGGTTTAAGGCTTCGGAGGTTTTTTTAGGATTCGGGGTTTATGGCATTGGGCCTCGGGGTTTTCTTTCCTAGCCCAGGGCTAGGCTGTAGGGTCTACTTGGACTAAGACCTAAACCCTTGCAGAATCTCTATAGATGCCTTTAAAGGGACCCCTAAAGGAGCCCTTAAAACTACCGTTGAACCTCCGAGTAGGGGTGTTGGGTTCAGGGCTCCGTCGCTGAAGCTCCGGGGCTTCAGGTTGAAGATATGGGGTTTAGGGTTTAGGGTTCAGGGTTTGCCGTAGAGTGGCGAAAAGCGGAAATATCTTGCGACATGGTCCTGTCGAGTGCGTCGTCCCCTGACAATTGGCCGTTGGAGCCTGGTCGTGGATGGCTTTTACGTTTTAACTCTCCCACCCCACGCCGTTTAAGGCGGCCAAGCCACCCAAACCTATTCCTTTCAGGGTTTAGCACCTAAACTCATTCCATGGTTTTCATTATTGCTTCAACCGCAAGAGGGCAGCGTAGAGTAGGGCAGGGACATCCAAGTGCGATGCGGTTGCGTGGTAATGGATGTCAAATGGAGCTGCGTTTTCGAACTTCGTGCAGGAAACTCATACTTGATAGCTGTCGTTGCTATCATGAAGCGATGTCGTGACCGCCACGGCGCCACTTTCTGGAGGCCTTTATGAGCCCCACACAAGAGGCCGGGACCATGTCCGGCGCCACTTTTTGGAGGGTGTCCGGCGCCATTTTTTGGACCGTGGCAAAGGCAAGGGGCCAGGCCGGACCAGGGCGGCAACATATGCCCCGCCCAGGACCGTGTCCGGCGCCACTTTTGGACCCTGTCCGGCCAGCTGTGGAGAGGCGGGCAAGCGTCTTGGGTCGGTCTGCGCCATCGAGGTCGAGGGGCTTAAGCGCCGCTCAGCCACGGTAGGTGGGCGGCCTATGCCTTGAGTTTAGGCTTAGGGTTTGGAGTTTAGGGTTTAGGGTTTGTGGTTTTTGGTTTGGGGTTTGGGTTTAGGGTTTGGGGTTTGGGGTTTAGGGTTCAGGGTTAAGGTTTAGGGCTTTGGGCTTAGGGTTTAGGGTTCAGGGTTGAAGATGTGGGCTGTAGTTTTTGGGTTTTGAGCTTGGGCGTTAAGGATGAATGTGCGAAGGGGATGGGGTCGTTGGGATAAGATTGAAAAACGACAACTTCAACAAGAGAGATACCCACAATGATCCTCTTTATCATAAGACTAAGAAGAAGAAAACGAACCCTAAACCCTAAACTCAAGCTAAGGCTTTTGGTCTCAGACTCCTCGCCCTCCAAAGGAGGGAATCCTAAGGGTTCGGGCTTTGGGGAATTGTCCGAAGCCAAGTGTTCTGGGCTCTGGGGGTCCGGTGTGGGTTTGGGGTTTAAGGGTTTGGCGTGTAGGGTTCAGGGTTGAGGTTTTAGGGGTGGGTTTAGGGTTTAGGGTTCAAAACTCAGGAACGTACTTGTCGAGTATCCTGGCGAACTGAAGGTTATAAAGGGATTATATGGGGATTGAGTACCGCGAAAAAGGTTAAAGGTTGCCTGCTCTACTACTGGTATGACTAGGAGAATCAGAGAGGCTGGCGTGTGGAGACTGGTAGGTGGTGCTGTTTGTTGTCTCGTTTTGGGGAGGGGACGAGCTCTGATAAACTGTTGAATCCACGGGGACAACCATACTTGGAGGGTCGGGGGACCTAGTAACTGGTTATTTTAGGGACTTATAAGTACCATAACCCCAATTAGGGTCCCTTTTAGGGTACTTATAAGTCTACTTACTACCTACTTACTAAGTCAGTGGTTCAAAGCCCTGCTGGAAGAGCAACGGGGTCTCTCCAGTCAAATCAATGACAGTTACTACGACGCTATGAACACATTTCCACCGTCACTCCCGTGCACCTTTGGTGCAAGGGAGTTTTTGGGCGAATCCAAAAGATTGGAAAATATGTGCAGGATGCTCTGACCTATGGTTTGACGAATCTAAAGGCAATTCATGACAACGCGGACCGTAACTGGCAACATGGCTGCGGATCAGAAAAATTCCATTTCATCTACTGGAACTCTATACCTTCGGATGTTTTGCAGAAATGAAATTTTTTGCAAAAAAAGAATCTATACTGTCACAGGGGCTCACGGATAAGCCCGGAAGGCTTCATCATCACCTCCATCCTGGCCAGGATCGTCCTGCAAGCAACGGGGGCCAAACTCTTCCCTGCCAGTGCTTCTTTCCCTGAAACAAAAGTGTTTAGGGTTTACGGGGTTACGGGGTTTAGGGGTTTAGGGGTTTAGGGGTTTAAGGGGTTTAAGGGGTTTAGGGGGTTTAGGGGGTTTAGGGGGTTTAGGGGGTTTAGGGGGTTTAGGGGGTTTAAGGGGTTTAGGGGGTTTAGGGGTTTAGGGGTTTAGGGGTTTAGGGGTTTAGGGGTTTAGGGGTTTAGGGGTTTAGGTGTTTAGGGGTTTAGGGGTTTAGGGGTTTAGGGGTTTAGGGGTTTAGGGGTTTAGGGGTTTAGGGGTTTAGGGTTGAGGGGGTTTAGGGGGTTTAGGGGGTTTAGGGGTTTAGGGGTTTAGGGGGTTTAGGGGTTTAGGGGTGTAGGGGTTCAGGGGCTTAGGGCTTACGGTTCCAATGCTTCCTCCTTGCGGCCGCACGAATATTTGAAGCCAAAGGACCGAACCCCTGGACCTAACAAAGCCACATGAAGCCCTGCGAGATCCTAAACAACTTTTGGCGGAACCCTGGTTTAGGGTTTACGGTCCCGGGCTTTCGGAGACCTCTCAAACCCTTAATCCAAAGGCCCAAAGGCCCAACACTACTACATATACATAATTATGCCTATACATATGCGTATATGCATATACATGTACATATGCATATAAGTATAAGTATACATACCTTGAGCCATCAACCCTCAATCTTAGTCCTCCTTCACCCTGAATGATCCGAAAGGGTTTAGGGGTTAGGGGTTTGGGGGTTTAGGGGTTAGGGTTTAGGGTGTAGGGTTTAGGGTCTAGGGGCTAGGGTTTAGGATGGGTTTAGGGTTTGGGGATCCGGTTCTTTATGGCTCCCTTACAAACACAAAATTAAGAGAAAACAACCCTATAGGAATCCTCAACTGGGTCAAGGAATACCTACAATACTCCAAAAAGACCCTCCCCGAAGTCTAAGCCGCCACAAAAACACTTGTAAAACAAGAGAAACCCTCCAAAAAGCCGAAGTCCGGATGTTGGCTCCCATCGTGTTCACCGCTTCCCGGGTGATCTTATTCTCCTCGGTGCTATTGTGGAGGGTTTGGGGATTTCGGGATTTAGGCTTCGGAGCCTTGAGGTTTGGGGTTTAGGGGCCCCTGTAGCGCTGGTAACCTAGGATACTCAGTAACCTAAGAATAAAAAGGCCTCGCTTTTTGGTATTGGGTACCTTTATAAGGAACCTAGGACTACAAAAAGAGTTTAGGGGCCCCTGTGAAACAGTTCTGCGCGGAGGATCTGAGGCTCTAGAATCTGACCCTCAACCCAGAGCCTCCAAAGCCCCTTAATGAAGGCATATACCTTAAGTCATATTAGGGATCCCTATTATAATTTAAGGTCGACTCCTTAATTAAGGGGCTTTGGAGTCTCTGGGAACCCCTAAACCCTCAAACCGTAAGCCCCTGATGTAAGGGCCTTAACAAGTAGAATAGGGTTTCGGCGCCCACCATACTATACTGATAATGAGGAACCCCCACAACCGTGTAGTAAGTTATTATTATAAAGCCTCTCTTGTAAACCGGAGATCCGAAACAGCCGTTCATCACGCAAAGACTTCCACTGTAGGGCTTCGGGTTTAGGGCCCTAGGGTTTAGGGTTTCGGGCCCTAGGGTGTAGGGTTTGAGGCCCCTAGATTTGAAGGGGCTCTAGGGTTTAGGGTTTCGGGTTTCGGGCAAAGGCGAAGGAGCCTCGATCCCCACCAAGCCCGTAATCCGGTTTAGGCTTATAAGGATTGAGGCCCTGGAGTTTAAGGGTTCAGGGGTTTAAGGGTTTAAGGGGCTAGGGCTTAAGGGTTCAAGGGCTTAGGGTTTAAGGTGTAGGGTTCAAATTAGGGGTTTAAGGGTTGAAGGGTTTAATGTATAGGGTTCACCCTCAGCCCTAAACACCGATTTCAAACTCGCAACAGCACTGAGTACCACAACGAAAACAGAATCCCAAACCCCACACCCTACATGCTAAAACTGACATGCCTCAGCACCTCGCGGGCAGCACCTTCAACTTCAAAAAACCAGACTCGACTTCTTACCGCGCGTACAATGGAACCGCACCAAAGACAAAAAAAACAAGCCCTAAATTCCTAGACCCAAGAGTAGCCTAGGAATAAAAAGGGTGCCCTTTTTGGTTTAAAGGGGCTTATAAGGGAACCTGAACCCCAAAAAAGGGAATAAGGGCCTACTCTAGGCCCTAAATTCAGATGCCAGATGCCAGCTATGTAAGTTTTGGGTTTGCGGCCTGAAGCCCGAGGCCCGAAATCAAACCCTAAACCCCTGAACCCTTAAACCCTAAACCCTAAGCCCTAAACCCCTATATGGGAGTTTCCGAAAATAGGGGGTACCCTATTTTGGGGTCCTTATAATAAGGATCCTATTATTTAGGGTACTATATTAGGGTCCCCTATTTTCGGAAACTCCCATATCTCTAAACCCCCAAACCCTGAACCCCAAAGCCCAGGTTCGTAGCTCATCTTCGCCAGCTGAAGGCTCTTCGCCGGCCCATGCAGCTGCATGCAACCCGACACGAACCTGGGGGCTTTACGTAGCGGTTTAGGGGTTTAGGGGCTTCGGATTTCGGGTAAAGGGTTTAGGGTTGAAAGGGTTTAGGGTTTAGGGTTCAAGGGCCCAGGAGGAGTTCTTAAGGTATAACGGTATAACCAAAAGAAGCTCCAGCAACTAGACCCCTGGCCCCGGACCCTAAACCCTCTTCTTCAACGACCGGGCCCCAAAAAGTTCAAGCTTTCTAAGATAGAGCTCATAAATAAGGCCAAAAAGTTTAGAGTTCCTCTGTCCACTGTTTAGGGTTTAGGGTTTAGGGTTTAGGGTTTAGGGTTTAGGGTTTAGGGTTTAGGGTTTAGGGTTTAGGGTTTATCTAAGTAAAGCCCCAAGACCCCCCCAACTACCGCTCTCAAGCCTGAGACCCTGAACTTCACAAATGCAACCCCTCGGCCCTCAAACCGTAAACCCGAAACCCTGAATGGTTTAGGGGTTTAGGGTTTAGGGTTTAGGGGTTTAGGGTTTAGGGTTTAGGGTTTCTGCATTCTAATACCCTAAAACACTCATAGGGATCCTTAGGGGTGTAGGGGGAGGGGGGGTAGGGGGCCTTAAGGCCCATAATAAGGACTACTAAGGCCTATTTAAGGAAATATAGTCCCCTACACCCCTCCCCCCTACACCCCTAAGGATCACTATGAAACACTGAACCCACAAACCCCACATCATAAACCCCGAACCCTGATTCCTCAAACCAAGCAACTAGACCCTAAAGGGAATGCGAAACTACTAAACCCCAAACCCCTAACCCGTCAACCCGGAAAGCCCCAAACCAATTGCTAAAGGGGCCTTAAAAATTAGAATAAGGTTTTGGGGCCCAGTAGACTATAATTGTTGCAAGGAACCCCCAAAACAGTATGGGTAATTATTAAGGCCCCTATGGTACATGCCGAAATGCCCTTCCCAGACCCAAGATTAAGAGTTTCTCAATCACCCTATGAATGCAAGCCCTATGGTCCCTACCCTAAACCCTAAACCCTGTTCCCTAACCCCTAAACCCTTCCTCAGGCCCCTATAGTGCTTGGAAGGGCAGGGGACTTAGTAAGTAGGTTATAAGTAGAGTTATAAGTACCCTAAATGGAGTTACCCCAATTATAACCCTACTTATAACCTACTTACTACGTCCCATGCCCCTCCAAGTAGGGCCAAAAAAGGGACTGAAACCTTCAAAAGCCGGGAAGCTCTTCCAGGTCGATCGAACCACCTGTGTTCTTGGAGGTTCAGGGTTTAGGGTTGCTTTCAGAGGGTCCTGAAAACCGGTGTTCCTTCAAGAGGTTCCTTTACGAGATTCCTGTAAGCGTTTTGGGCTTTGTTGTTTAGGGTTTAAGGGCTTATGGTTTAGGGTTTAAGCGTGTGGGGTTTAGGGGTTTAGGGCTTTAAGGGTTTACCGGTTCAGGGGTTTAGGGGGTTTGGGTTTCGGGCTTAAAACCAGTTCCGAGCCGCTGTTGTCGGCGTCGATGAGCGTGAAGAGCATCCGGATGTCGTCGGTGGATATGTCCAAAGACTCCAAGAACCTCGGAAGAGAAATGAGGGGTTCCATCCATAGACTTACTAGGCCATAAAACCCTCCATCTAGTTTCGGAGTTTGAGTTCAAGGTCTGGCGTCCGTTCCGGATCGTTCCGGGCTGCAGTGTTCAATGAAATCTCAAATATCCTCAACCTAAACCTTTTACCCAAAGCCCCGCGAAAATCACCTGAAACCCCTTGCCGAAGCACGCACCCACGCTTTCCAAGCCCATCGCCTCCTCGATGTCCTGCTTTTGGGGAGTCTTTGAACGTGATTACAGGTAACAGTAAACTCACAGTAAGAAACACAATAGCTCATACTATCTTTTTAACGAAGATGAGCGCAAAACCAGGAAACGACAACGACAACAAACAAGAGAAGCAGTTATCCTGACTCATAAGCCAAGCAACCCCAAGCCTTGAAACCCTGATAAGCCATGATGCAGTCCCAAACCCTCAACCCTAAACACTAAACCCTAAAGCCCTAAACCAAAAAACCTTAAACCCTAAGCCCTAAAACCCTAAACCCCAACCCCTAAACCCTAAACCCTAAACCCTATAGATCCCTTACAGAACCCTTATGGATAGCATCCGCAACCCGACTCCTAAGGGATCCCTTACAGGAGGCCGTCCTGGGAGCCCTGAAAGGGAACCCTGAAGCGGGGCCCTGAGAAGGAGGCCCCTGTCTGGGTTCTTGTTTATAGTGAACCCCAGAAAGTTGGAACATAAATTTAGGATGAATAATGCTGGGATTCCTTCTACTTTCCCTTAAGGGCACGAGGGCAATGATGTTCCAACTTTCTGGCTTCTACTGTAAAAATTCAATTTAAGTTACCATAATAAGAATCTATTCTCACTTGGTAACTGGATCTAAATCCCTTAACAAGAACCAAGTCCTTGATCTTCAGATTGTTCGTCTGCCAGTGGTCCATCGCCTCGAAGGCGTGCCGCAGCACCTGGATTTGCTCCTGCGGGGCTTTCGTGGAGTGTGTGTATGTGGGAGATTTTGACGGATTTAATTGGTTTAGATAAAGCTTATACTATAATGCTATGCGGCTTACGCGATATACATAAGGTCGACATTGAGTCATGAAGTTTATATGGCGTGCACAGAGTTTAAACGGGTGTACACGGGGCTTCGGCTTTGGAATTTCATGTAGGGCATCGGATTAGGGGTCTAGGACTTTTGATTCAGGGTTTGGGGTTTAGCTTTTCGAGTTCAGTCGTCGTCGTTGTCGTGGTGGTAGTTGCCGTTTCGTCGTAGTGTAGATGAGTTAAAACCCAGGACCTACTGGTAGGGTTTACCATGGAGCCTGAAGCGGAGCCTTAAACGCTCAATTTCGAAGATGCCAATCCCTGTAGCCTATACTGGCCATACACATCTACCTTAACCTACCAAACCCTACTTTTTTGTAGGTTCTTATTATATACCCTAATTTGGAATTCAAAAAGGTATCCCTAACCGCAGGAGCACTTGCAAAAGGCTAAGGTATGCCCCACAGTGTCCGAGCACCCCCGCAATATGGGTGAGAGTGCGGCATCTGCAGGCCGAGTGGTAGTTTGGGGGTTTAAGACTTAGTTTAGGGTTCGGGGTTCAGCTTCTAGGGTTCAGGTCAGGGCTTAGGGTTTAGGATGATTTAGGGTTGATTCGGGAGCTGGGGTTTTTGATCCAGGCTCCAAGGTTCAAGCTTTGACGCTTCAACTGCTGGGCTTCGGTTTCAACAGTCGTCTCTACTTTGCCAGAAATCCTGTAAGATCAAGCTGCCCAGTGCTGAAACCGAGCGATGCTCCTTGCGCTTCTGGAAAGCTTTGAGTGCGGCGATGTCTTTGTCCGCACTTGCTCGCTCGATGGCGGTGTTCACGAAGACGCCTTCTTCAATGCAAAGACCGGCCAAGCTGCGCAACAGCACCGCAACTGTCCCCGCGTCTGCTAAAGATGGTAGCCTAAAACCCATGGCTCTACTTGGAGGGTCGGGTGTCTTCGTGAGTAGGCAAAGAATAGAATTACATTTTCTATGGGACCTTATTGAGGAAAACTGAAACCCCTACTGAATAGCCACTTACTAAGTCCCAACGACCCTCCAGGTAGTTATCCAGAGACTCCAATATCCCTGAATTAAGGAATATTCCTTAAATCATATCAGGGATCCTATTATAGTTTAAGGTATATTCCTTAATTAAGGGATATTGGAGTCTCTGGGTAAACCCAGAGCACTTGGAGATTTGCCGTGCAGCCGAGGGACCTGTCACCACATTCAACAACCTCATGTAAGTTCGGCTTACGGAGTCAGGGTTCCGGATGGTATGGGGGGTTTAGGGCTTAGGGTTTAGGATGGTATGGGGGTTTCGGCGTAAGACGGAGTCTAAGAAAATGAAAATCCCCCTATAAAGCCCTTACTCGCACGCTTCTGTATGGGACCACTTGTGGTTTCAGTGCAAACAGGATGAGGCCTACAAGCTGAAGGTAAGCCCACCCAGCGAATCCGCAAATCCCGAAAGCTGCGGCTTAAAGCTGAAAGTGTAAAGATTAAGGCTTCAGGTTCGGGGTTTAGAGTGGAGGGTTGGGAGCGCAGGGTTTAGGGAATATGGGGCCTTCAAGCATTAGAGTGGGCATCTGTTGAGCTTTTCATGGAGTTTCGAACGGCTTCCATGGTGATTCGAAGCTCGAAACCCGAACGCACGATCTCCTCTTCGCTTGGCTGTCTGATTGTCTGGTTTGTGTCTGCATCTGCGATGAGCCGACTCTGCGGCAGCTCGTGTTCGTGCCTGCGTCCTTTTCGCTCATCAACAACATCTCCCGCAGGAACTCGCTACAGCGCCCATGGGCATTCCAAGGATTCAGATGTGCATTCCGTAAGTGCGGATGTGTGTTCCATGGGTGCTGCGTGTGCATTGCGTGACGCGACACGAGACCCAGCAGAACAGCTCGAGTTTGAGCCGAATGAGACCGCGGTTCTAAAAAGGAGACGTAGCAGTTCTTGTTGAAGCTCTGGCGTCAGGGGGAATACTGCTCCGGGACCAGAAACCCTGAACCCTCAAATCCTAAAACCCGGTTTAGGGTTTAAAGTTCCGGGTCTTGGGATTAGGGTTTAGGGTTGAGGTGCTAGGACCGTTCCAGAAATGAGGCCAGTCGCGTGAAAACACTGATGATGATGTAGAAGATCCTCAGACGGGAGATACTGCTGATGCATATTCCCTGGGAAGGAATGTACCACAAGTCCCACAGTTCTGCGTGCGCAGGGTCATGCATGACTGTGTCCATCAGCCGTACTTCTACATTCGGGCCGCTAAATCCGATCTACACGCTGCAGCTTGACTTGCAGGGCCGTGGGACCGCACCTGTGAAAATTCATACCTTGACTTCAGCATAGCAGAAGACTCTCTGCAGAAGACTCTCTGCATACGAGCCCAAACCCCACACCCTGAACTCTAATCTGCTGAGAGAGAGAGAGAGAGAGAGAGAGAGAGAGAGAGAGAGAGAGAGAGAGAGAGAGAGAGACACCTTGCCAAGCCCGTCTTGAAACCTACAGCGGCACTGCCTCAGGGTTTGAGGTCCGTCCAATGATTCGACTTTAACCCTAAACCCTAAGCTAGGATTGACACAGAGTCTCCCAAATCCTGTGCTCAATGTGTGTTCCTATCGCAAGAAAGAGAGAAAAGATACCATCCCTAAATTATGAACGGAGGAGCGATAAGTTCCTAATTAAACTTTACTAGGATACCCAGTAACCTAAGAATAAAAAGGCCTCTCCTTTTGGTATTGGGTAACTTTATAAGGAACCTAGGACTACAAAAAGGGAATAAGGGTACTACTGGGCATCCTAGTTTAAGCCAGGGATGCTAAGAGGGTTTTGGCAATGAAACCCCTAGGTTACCACTTTCATGGGACTGCGTTTGGGCAATTCTGGGATCCGTTAAGCGTTTGGGGCCTTCAAACCTATGGGCTTCACGGTATGGGGCTCAGGGCTCGGGGCTTAGGGTTTGGGCTTTAAGGGTTCAGGGCTTAGGGCTTAAGTTTTGTCTTTAGGGCTGGGCTGAACGCAAGTATGAACCGAAGGCGGGATGCCTATTTTATCTAAGGAAACAGAGGGGCAACGGGTTTGGGAACTGGTCAATTTCATGCAGCAGCACCGAAACCCTGGAAAGCCCTGAACGTCAACCCCCTCGTGCCAGACGCCGCGTGCAGCCGGCCAGTAACAACTCCAAAAAACCCCAAACTCACGAGACTTTAACCCCGCAGCAGCGGTTCCTTGTTCATAAACTCCGAGCTTCCCCCCCAAAGAATGAGGTTGCCAAACACCTAAACCCGAAACCCTACACCCTAAAATGAGTCGGAGGTGCACGAAGCCGACAGCCAGTACAGAAACATCCTCCAGCGGGCGGACGGCGTCTGACCAGGCAACCCCGTTGGTGATGGCCTGATTTGGGATTACAGGTACTTTCATTTAGGGGTCTTACTGATTAATTAATCATTTTGAGGTGAGCGGTTTGCAGTTTTGGCTTTACTTACTACACCAATAAGCCACAGAAATAGAACGTTAAACTTTCCGATTCCTACTGAACCATAAGAACCCAAAAATTTAAAAGGTTAGGTAATGGGGATCTAAGTTTACGGTCTTGGGTTTCACGGCAAGCGCTGTTCAAACAATCTTGTGGGTGGGGGGGTACTCGAGGCAGCGCATCGATCATCGGGTATCGATTTGGAACGTTAACATTGCGGGAGCTTGCGTACAGTGAACCCCAGAAAGTTGGAACATGGCTTAAGCATGATTAGTGCTGGGATTCCCGCTGCTTTACCTCAAGGGCATGAGGATAGTGATGTTGCAACATTCTGGATTCTGCTATATCCTGAAGGACGACATGAACCCTAAAAGGGTTTAAGGTTCATATACCATATAGGGGTTGATAGTATATGGGTATACTTGGAGGCCCTTTTGACTTAGTAAGTCTACTTAGTATCCCCTAGAAACCCTATTATAATCCCCTTAACTTACCTTACTAACCCTACTTACTAAGTCAAAAGGGCCTCCAAGTAGGGCCCTACTTTTAAGGGTCATTTGGTCCTCCAGGATGGAGCAATGATGATGGCGCGGATTCAGGGCCTAAACCCTTTCGACCAGCCGCCCGTTGAGCTGAGAGCTTAGGGAAGCACTTGCGGCTGAGCTGAAGGGATTGGGGTCTAGGGTTAGTTAGGGTTTAGGATTTAGGGTTTAGGGTTTAGGGGTTTAAGGGTTTAGGGTTTTGGGTTCAGGGTTCAGGGCTCGGGGTTTTGGATTTGGGGTTTAAGGTTTAGGCTTTGAGGGCAAAGGGCTTATCGGATTTCCATGCAGGCATCACAGGGTCCAGTGTTAATGCTAAGGCCAGTACGGCTACTGAACCCGAAACGCTTGAATCATTGAACCCTAAACCCCTAAACCCTATAGATCCCTTTAAGGAACCCCTATAGATCCCTTTTAGGACCCCTTTAAAGGAACCTAATATTTAGGGTGCCCAAAACAGGACCCCTAATCTTACTTCCGAATCGTAAACACTTGTTCGGTGGAGTTTACCGCCTCAAGGCTCAATCCTCAGCTATCTCGGCTGTCACGGGGAACACGGTTTAGGGTTTAGGGTTTAGGGTTTAGGGTTTAGGGTTTAGGGGAAAATGAAGGAATAAAGAATAGAGAATGAAAAGTGCAAAATCCTAACTGCCAAAGCCTACGGTTTCGGGCTTGCATGTTAGCCTGGTTGAAGAACCTAGTGAAGCAGATGGGATCATTAAGAATGTCTCAAGAAAAAGATGCCGCCTGGGTTCCCAGATATCCCCCTCAACAGATCGTGTTTCTGTAATTCAGCTTACTCAGATAAGGGAAACCCCGAAACCTGAACTGATAAAACCCGAAAATGAAAGATATGGGAGTTTCCGAAAATTAGGGGTACCCTGTTTTGGGGTCCTTATAATAAGGATCCTACTAGATAGGGTACTACTAAGGTCCCCCTATTATCGGAAACTCCCATATGGTTGCCGTGCTGCCATCCACCCTCCTGGCCCGGCCTGCTACCTCGAAGCCCTACTTGGAGGGTTGGGGGACTTAGTAAGTAGGTAGTAAGTAGACTTATAAGTACCCTTAAAGGGACCCTAATTGGGGTTATGGTACTTATAAGTCCGTAGAATAAACAGTTACTAAGTCCCCTGACCCTCCAAGTACGGCCCCAGATTCAGAGTGTAGGGCTTCGGGTTTAGCTCTAATCCCTGGTGCTTAGGAGGGAATGGGGGAATGGATCCCTATAGAAGTCCCTGAATAGTAGTCTCCATAATCCATTCCACCATTCCCTACTAAGCACCAGGGAGTCCACTAAGAACCCTAAACCCCTATAGCGTAACCCTTATAGTATATATATACCCTTATAGTGGAACCTTTATAGTAACCCTTAAAGACAGCCCATTCCCTACTAAGAACCAGGGAGTCTAGAACCCGAAGTCGCAGCCACGTAGCGTAGAAGAGCGTCAGCATGCTCTGGCCGATACTGGACCAATACTTGTCCAGTTCGGCTGGACATTCCTTGGCATCAAAATAAACCCTAAACCCTAAACCCTGAACCCTAAAGCCTAAACCCTAAACCCTAACACTAAAGCAGTGCGGATCATAGGGACCCTTTGGGGGGTAAGGGGGACGGGGAGCGGGGGTAGGGGGCCTTTTGGCCCATAATAAGTATCTCATAGGGCCTTAAGGAAACATAGTCCCCTACCTGGAGGGTCGGGGGACTTAGTCACTGGTTACTTTGGGGACTTATGAGTACCATAACCCCAATCAGGGTCCCTTTTAGGGTACTTATAAGTCTACTTACTTACTACCTACTTACTAAGTCCCCCGACCCTCCAAGTACCCCCCTACCCCCCTAAGGGTCCCTGTGGAAACAGCTTTAGAGATGAGTCTCCAAAGACCACATCACTCCTGTACTCAACCCAGAGACTCCAGTGTCTTAGAAGCTGCCCCCACCCTGTAATAGTGACTATAACGATTATACTAGGGCCCTATTATATTCCTATTATACCACTATTACAGGGTCGGGGCCCCTTCTAACCAATATCCCTTAATTAAGGAATATACCGTAACTTACAGTAGGATCCCTCGAATATCGGGATTGGGGCTTTAGGGTTTTAAGGGGCAGGCTTCCAGGCTTCTGCAGTCTGTTTTTGAGGCCCCTGACGTCTCCATGTGGGTGGTTGTCAAAATTAGGGTCCCTTTTGGGGTCCTTGCCTATTAATTTCAACGTGGTTTTGGTGCCTACTGTGCTACAAATATTGAGGAGCGCTAAGGCCCTCTTGTTACAGGAGACAAGACAGAAAAAGGAATCAAGACACCCTAAACCCTAAATCCTAACAAGACAAGGACAAGACTGCCGTCGCGGACCAGCTTCCGGAACTGCATTCATGTTGTTGCTCGCCTCGACCGCCAGGAAGCGGCAGTAGTCTGTGACCAACTGCGTCAGGATGACGCCGAAGCCTCAACCAGGGAGGCGAAAATCAGGAAGGGGGCCTTGTAGTGGCGATGGGGATCGGGCGAACTTTGGGATCTTGGGGCAACCCCTCAGTTGAGAGTTCAGAGTATGTAAAGAGCCGGATGATGTTTTTGGAGCTTCGCAGTCCCTGGTTCAGAACCCCAAACCCCTAAACCCCTGAACCCCTATCTCTAAGGACTCCACCCTAAATCGTTCTCGGGCTTCAGCTTAAGCATTCAATGGTTTGGCCAAAGACTTCGCTTGAAAGCCAGAGAACTGGCGAGACAAGCCAAAACGTCTTGGGCGGTGCTTAGGCCTCACAGGTTTGGGTTTAGGTTTTGGGTGTGGGTTTAGGTATAGCGTCGAGGGGTTGAGGCTTTGGGTCTTCGGGTCTAGAGCAAAGGATGTAGGGTCGAGGGGTGAAGGCTTAGGGTTAGAGTGGGATAGCAAGATAAATCTGCTGCTGATTATGCTAAACCAGCCGTGCCACTGTAGAAGATGATGAAAAGCAGCACGATAGTCCTAAACCCTGAACCCTAAACCGGCCGTGCCGCTGTAGAAGATGATGAAAAGCAGCACGATCGTCCACAGCAGAGAGTTGATGGTGCTCACGATGGAGAGGACCAGCACCCTGGAGCCAGCGATCAGCTTGGCCCGGTGTGTCGTGCATGATAAATGGGGGTTTCCGAAAATAGGGGACCCTAACATAGTACCCTAAATAGTAGGATCCTTATTCTGAGGACCCCCAAATAAGGTACCCCCAATTTTCGGAAACTCCCAAACCACCTATGCAGTCGATCCTTCATAACGTCTACCCTGCTGTTCCCCATTTTGGTGCGTCGCTCCAAAAATCGATCCTACAACAGTTTACAGTAGTTTCCGACAAAGAGGCCAACAAAATCGAACCCTCAATGATCAGCTTAAGAGCCCCTAAACAGTTAGGAAGCAGGCCATCTATGCGCAGAGTATTTACAGTGCGATCATGGGGAATCCGACAACAGAAAAGGAAGAAGGCCACCTCCTATATAACAGCTTCTGCATGCAAGGTTATTGCATGCAGGCTTTCCATGCTAGGGGAGGAAGCTCGGGGATTTCGCAGGGCAGGGGCAGCTTTGCAGTTCAAGACAGTTTTGCGCTTCTGCACATCCCACGGAATTGATCTCGAAAACCCTGAACCCTAAACTAAGACAGCCCTGAACCCTAAATAAAAGCACAGGGCCTCAGGGCGCTGAAGTATCTAAAGACTCGAAGGAAACGCATCCCTCGAAGAGCACCTGGCAACTGACGAAATAGGGGGGATTCAGGAACAAAACGAGCTGCCTCAGGCTAAGACAAGGGTACTACGGTTGATGATATAACCCCTGCATTACCTTACGGACTCTCAACTATGGGAATGATGGTATGTTTACTATTCTGGGTAATGCAGGATTTATGACAGCAACAATATGCAGGTTTTCATAAGGGCAATTATTGGGGTGCTCTCACGCTACTATGAGGCTGCCATAAGGGCTCTGACGGAAAGAGTGTTGGCGTTTTCGGCTGCGGGTGCTTGGCGCCTTCTTCTCCAGCGGGTGCGAGGGTGCGTGTTTTTGCTGTCGGTATGGGTGTGGGGTGCGTTTTGTTTCTTTACGCGGCTACACACGCGCGCTTCTTTATCGTTGCCGTCGGTGCGGAGAGCCTTTCTGCAGAGGGATTTTTGCTGCGGGCGTTTGGCGCCCCGAGAGCAACAATGATGGGAGGCCAAAAGGGGGGGTTTAAGATTCTTGTGGTAGGGATTCCTTCATATGTACCCTATTATGGGAACCCTAATCCCTACTAAACCCCCATAGGCTAAAACCCCTTTTGGCCTCCTATGAAACAAACCAGCAGCAAGAACGAACGAATCCCTGCACAAGAAAAAGGCGCCCGAACCCGCAGCGAAAAGAACACACAACAAAAAAGCAAAACGGATAATACAGCGGCGAGTAGGGTTTTGGGGCCCATTCTACTATAGTTCTAATAAGGAACCCCCCAAAATAGTGTAGGCAATTCTTCAGGTCCCTCTAGTACAGACTGTGGCGCTTTTTTGCTGGGGCACGTGCTAAGTCACTTGCTGCCCACTGCCCTGCTTTTTCCAGAATTCCAAGAGTCCAAGACCATGCGAAGCCCGACATTACAGGGAACTCCAGAAAGTTGGAATATGGTTTCATGGAAGGATACCCTATAATTTACCATAGAAGTGTCAGGATAATCATATTCCAACTTTCTGGCTTTTACCTTATAGGGACTCCACTGATGAAAAGTAGGTTTTGGAGTACATTTGGGGTTCCGGGGTTTAGGGGTTCAGGCACACGACCTATTCTGCACACTCAGACCCGATTCCGGCAGCAACTAGGGCGCTCTACAGTGCTAAACAACTTATCGTCAAGCAAGGTGCTTGGAAATCTTACCCCCTCACCTCAAAAAAGAAGCTGCAACACGCCACACAAGTCAGAAGCCACCACAATCACCTAAAGCCTGGCAACACCCGCTCTCCGGCATGCGCCAAGAGCGAAGACCACTTGGAGGGTCGGGGGACTTAGTAACTGGTTATTTTAGGGACTCACAAGTACCATAACCCCAATTAGGGCCCCTTTTTGGGTGCTTATACGTCTACTTACTACCTACTTATTAAGTCCCCCTAAAAACCCTCCAAGCAGAGCCTAAGCCCGCCTGACCCTGCCAAAACCAAGTCCCCACTTCGCTCCAAAACCTTCGAACCATGATCCCCAAACACCAAAAGAGCTAAATCCTTACAGTAGCCCTTATAGAACCCGTTTAAAGGAACCCTAAACCCTATAGTATAGGTCATTATTGTATTTAGGCCCCTATCTTGCTACACCAATAAGCCACAGAAATACAAGGTTAAACTTTCCGATTCCTACTAAACTATAAGAACCCAAAAACTTAAAAGGTTAGGTATTGGGGATCTAAGACAGCAAATCCAGAACACCGAAGACATAAATCCCTCATCCCGAAGATATTGAAACCCAGCATCCCGAAACTCCAAATGCCCGATCGAAAGTCTGGAACCTAAACCCACCCAAGTACTACCAAGGCCAGCCCAAACCCTCCTAAATCCCCAAACTTGAACCCTAAACATCCTTATATCCACCTAAACCCAAAAACTTGAACCCTAAACATGCTTAAAGGCACCTAAATCCCCAAACTTGAACCCTAAACATCCTTAAATGCACCTAAACCCCGAAACTTGAACCCTAAACATCCTTAAACCCTCGAGGCCCTGGAGCCCCCCTCAGGCGAGCACGCGCCAGCCGCATCGTCCGGACGACCGAGAAGGCATCGGAGCCCCAGATGGAGGACACCAAGCTCCTAATATAAATAGGGTTTAGGGTTTAGGGTTTAGGGTTTAGGGAATATAGGGGCCTTCATAATCAGAATAGGGTTTTGGCGTATATTCTCCTAATCTGGGCTTTGAAGTATCCGGGGCGAAAAAGTATAGACTGTTGCTTCATAACGGTCCCCTTTAAATCTTGAAGTGGTACTGCAAAGCCCAGTAATGTAGGGGGCTTAATAATTAGACTAGGGTTTTGGTGCATTCTATACTATAACTATATTAGGGTTTTGGGGTCCCTTTTGCACATATTTCTAATCAGGAACCCACCAAAATAGTACAGGCATCAATTATCCTGTAGGGGTTCCTTTCTGGCCTTTAAGGGTTGAGGGTTTATGGTTTAGCGGTTTAGGGGCTTAGGGGTTCAGGGGTTTAGGGTTGAGGGTTTAAGAGTTTAGGGTCTGGGGTTTAGGGTTTAGGGGTTTCGGGGTTTAGGGTTTACGGGTTTAGAGTCTTGGGTTAAGGGTATAGGGTTTAGGGTTGGATTGAAGGGGGTTCCTGCAAGGACTCCATAGGGCTGGGGCTTCGAATGGGCTTACAGTAGAAGCCAGAAAGTTGGAATATCAATATCGTAACCCCTTTAAGGTAAATTATAGGGGATCCTACCATTAATCCATATTCCAACTTTCTGGAGTTCCCTTTAAACCCTCAACTCTAAAGCCCTAAACCTCTAAACCCTTATAGAATCCCTATAGATCCCTTTAAAGGGACCCTTAAAGGACCCCTTATATTCCAACTTTCCGGAGTTCCCTTTAAAGGGTTTCGGGGTTGAGGGCCTTGCCAGATGGGCCTTAAGAATCAGATTGGGGTTTTCGAGGTTCTCATCGTGTAGGGTTTTAGGGTTTAGGGTTTAGGGTTTAGGGTTTAGGGTGTAGGGTTTTAGGGTTTAGGGTTTAGGGTTTAGTGAAATGATTAGTAGTTATTTGTGCCAGGGTTACGCATGTATGGCTGGGACGCAGGGATCTGCAACTCCCCAATTCCCAAGCTCAAAGCTGGCTAGGTGGGTCAGATATGTAGGTAGGTAGGTAGGCAGGTGGGTAGGAGGAAGGGAATGGTATTTCGGCAGGTAGGCAGGTAGGCAGTAGTAGGTAGGTAGGTAGGTAGGTACACCAACAAATACATAGCCTCCTAGCAGATATCAAACGACTCCAGCTCGCTTCTCCACCTCGGACCGAGGTGCCGAGCCCACAGATCCAGGACCGTCTCCAACGCGGAGACGGTTACGATGAAGAAGTCAAAGATGTTCCACCAGGCCTGGCTTCGTAGGTTGTTCCTCGGATAGTATATAGCATAGTGTAGTATAGTATGGCTTCATATTGGATTGTGTTGTATAGTATGGTACAGTATAGTCGGGGATAGAATAGGAAAGGATGGGATAGGATAGTACCATATAGCATAGGCTAGCCTAGTCTAGTACAGTACAGTATAGTGCACCATCTCATCGTATAGTACAGTATAGTATAGAACAGTATAGTGTGATGTCGCATTGTACTTCATCTGTTCGTTCGTACGGTACAGTATAGTCCAATGTGTACAGTATGCAGTAAGTTCAGACAGTGGG